TAAAGGGAAAAGCGTACAGAAAGCATCATCAGTGGCGACTGCAATGGCAGCAGAGGCAGAAAAAAAACATGTGCATAACAACAACAACAACAACGACGACGGCGACGACACGAAGTGAACGCGTTCACTGTGCTCTAGCTGGCAAGGCTCTTGATGGTGGCTGTTGTGTGTTTGCGAGCGCTGCAAGAAAAAGCATGCCAAATCTTTGATGGGAAGAAACGATAAATATGGTTTTAATTAGTCGCCGTTCTGTTTCCTTTACTGCTTCTTTTTTACACACACACAATACACATCCCTCTCATTCTGTAGCGCGCGCTTTCGTCTACAATTTTACTGCCTCGACATTTCATTTGCTTTCATTTACGACGGCAGCAACATCAAGCATCGAAGCATCGAAACTTCGTGCAGCTTAAGCTCCATTCCGTCGGTACATCATTGGGTTGTGTGTGTTGATGTGCGCGCGCGGCAATAATTATGCTTGCAAGAGGTTTCCCTTAGCATCATTGCCCACTTCAGTGGCAGCAGCAATCTTCAATCTGCTTTGAGTCCATACGAGTTATAGCTCCCTCTCTGTGCGTTGCAAAGTACATGCATCAAAATGAAGTGTGTTTATCTGACTCGTTTTCTTATTCCTCGAAGCCGTCATTCGACGTCGCATGCTCGTTTTGATGCTTTCGCTCACTATCACATCTGCTTGCCTGTTTTTCCCTCAGCGTGTGTGTGTCTCTTTTGCCCTATCTCTCTCTTGTCCTCATCCTCTTTTGGGTGTGTGTGTGTGTGTGTGCGCGCTTGTGTGTATATGTATGTGCTTTCCGCTGAAGGGAAAAAGAAACACATATTTTTTCCACTCTGTAGAGCGTCATAACTCTACCAGCGTTTAGAAAAGTTAGAAAAACAAAAATTAAACACTTGATCAGCTTAATGCCTTTCGGCAAGCACATTCCATTTTTGTTGTATTACATTTTCACTTTTTAATTTCGACTCGTCAATGACACAGCACAGAGAGCACAGAGAGCATAGCATAGCGAATTTTTGTTGTTGTCTTTTCGTGCTATCGTCATTCGGCAAATGTAACGAATGATAAGAGAAATTGTCGAGCACATCGCAACCGTAGCACATCTCCGACCAACGTTCAACTAGAAAATGCTAAATATTCTCTGTTCTGTGTGCCTGTTTTCATTTTTGAGTCACTTCATAACTTATTCACAAATTAATGCCATCCAAATGCCACGGAGCCATGAAGCCAATAACTTCCAAATCCAACCAAAGCAACGAGCTTGACTTTGGCTCTTCTTTTAGTTATTAAAACCGTCAAAGGTAATAATTATAATATCAAAAGTTCGAATAAATAATGTTTTCAATTGAGTTGATACAATCACACGAGACTTAAACCAGGAGATACAGAGAGAGAGAGAGAGAGAGAGAGAGAGAGAGCATAATAGAAAATGTACACCGTCCTTGAATATACATAAAATACGGTATCTTAACAACAGCCAACGCAATCAATTCCAACTCTTGCTAACTCAGTTTGAACGTCGCCGTCATCGTCGTCGGTGCTATGGATTGTGTATGACGATCGAAGAAAACGTTGTTGCAAGCACTTTTTAATCCGATCCAAAAATCAAAAATGAGATTTGTTTGGATTCATTTGGAAAATCTCTTAAAATTAAAAGCAACCTATTTAACATCATATCATTTTTATTACATTAATAAATGTTAATTAATAGTTGATAACAGAATTAATCGATTTTGGTGTAGAAAAAACTTACGATTTTACCCTATCATCATTTTTTTATGAAATCGTGATTTTCGCGTGAAAGGAAAAACCTAACACAATGTATGAAATTCGTTTTTGTTGAGAGAAAAAAATAACAATATGCTTAATGGAAAATCGCCATTTGTTCAGCAATTTGAATGAGCAAAAAGTAGCAAAATGTTTATACTCCATTTGAGAATTCGCGAGAGCTAGTTCATTTTACATTGTTTCTTTTTTGTGTGTTCGTCTCCGTTTTCCTTTTATGACGGAACCATTAACACACTCTAGCCTAAATATCTCGTTTGTAGAGAAAACTTGTGTCTGTGTCTATACTTTGAAACTGTGTTTTAATGCGAATATGTTTGTATGCAAATGTTTCCTTTGCCCATTTCAAAGGCGGTTTCATGTTTGCACAAAGTTTTCATTTGTATTTTTCGGTGATTCACTCTCCTCCGTCTTTCTCTCTTTCTCTTCTGCCCTGTATGTGTGCAGCCGTTTAATATACATATCTTTGGGAATTGTGTCGACGATCCGTGGAGGGAATGGAACGAACGAGAGCATGAGCATGAAATCGTGTCGAAAGACTCATTGTAACGGCGGTCAGTTGAGTCGTTCTTCTTTTCGTCTGGCTAAAGGTATTACACAGGGAATCCAAGTGCCAAGTCATCACCTGATTTAAACGAAAACTTTCCATCTTTTCATTCTCACAATGAACACATGCACACCGGGAAAGCGAGAGAGAGAGAGAGAGAGAGAGAGAGAGAGAGAGAGAGAGGACTTGAAATCCAGTCAGTTGTGCCATGCGGCGCTATGCCATACTCTGATTTTCAATTAAAATTTCATTTTCTGGGCCGTTTGGTGCAAGCGAAATGAAAAATGATAACCGGAAAAAGAGCTCGATAGGCGATCGGCATTCAATTAAATTCAATGAGTAGTGGAAAATTCATCCGAATGAGAAACAACTCAAACAAATTGAGAAAGTACCGGGAAAAGTGGGTAATGAAGTCGAACGATGGGAGAAAACAACACACAGAACAGAGCTCGATTAGAATGGGATCGAAAGAGACAGACACAGAGAATGAGAATAAAGTAAGCGCCTTGATTACATATATGGTGTGGAGGTAAGAGAATATTGATTGCTCTATATATCTCTCTTGAAATAAACTTGCACAACTTGAACGAGAAAAGAAACAAAGAAAGAGAAAAAGAGAGAGAGAGAGAGAGAAAGAGAGAGTGAAAAAAACTATATTATAAGTGTGAAACTGAAACAGTCTTCCAGTCAGAATACCAATTCCAAGTGGTTTCGGTCACATTAAAAAAGCATTAAAGCTCAGGGGCGCACTTTGTAGCTCGGTCGCATTCCCGCACAAATGATTTTGAATCTGTTTGGGTTTGCATTCCATCACACACTCGCATCACCTCATCCACTTTTCTTGTCTCTCTGTCTTCGTCGATGTGTCTCGAGATGCGACAAAAATTTTGTTTCCTATCATTTTCTCTCCATCCTTCCTTCTGTCCCTCTCTATCTCTCCGTCTTTTTTTCTACTCGAAATCGCTTCAAGACAAAACCACATTAAAATCATTTCACGTGGAATTATCGAAAACCGTCTCTTTGCAGACGTGCATAACAAGAACAACAACAACAACAACACGTTTATTTGCAACGACGCACTGAAAAAAACGCGAAACAGAGACCGGATTTTTTTGTTCGTTGTCGTGCGATACTTCATTAAATTTCGTTTTCTGTGTTCCTTTTTTTTATTTCGTCTTCTCCGTCGCTTCACAAATTGAAAAGTATGGCATCCAACAAATATGTTAATGTGGATAGCAGATTTTTGAATATTTTGGTTTCATTTGAGATCGCTTACGAGGTTAATGTAAAGGAAAAAAAAAACAAAAGAGAAAAAAAGTAAGAGAACAGTCGAAGGGTTCAAGTTTATCACACAGCACGGTTTTATTTTATTTATTCTTTTTTTTTATTCGTATGAATTTGTTTTTTATTTTTCTCGTTTTGGTTTGGCTCCGTTCGAAATGTTTGTTACTCACCAAACCAAACGCAAGCCATAAACCACTTGGAAAATGTGAAACGACGCAAATATTCTCCGAGGAATCGAAGAAGTTGACACAGAGAGGGAGAGAGAAAAAAGCGCAGAGAAATGGAAATTATATTTAATTTTGAGTTTCTTTCTCTAATCGACAATTTCAAGAGACGGAAATTTCGTCATCATTTTCATTCGGTGAATATGAAATAAAGAAAGCCGCACACATAATGCGCAAAATGTGATGAATTCAAAATGGAAATGCAATCGAATCGAATGGTGGGGGGTGTGATTATGCGAATTTGCAAGCCATTCATCCGGTTGGCTCAAGTTTACTCTCTTTTTCTCTCCCTCTTTTATGACAATTTAAGTACAATAGGGAAATGTGTGTACGCGCGCGCGAGGTCATTTTCAAAATTGAGATTTCAAACTTCAAAAATGTTCGCCGTAGCACTTATTAATTGGGGAGCTGTGATTGAATTTCGAGCAACACTCAACTATTATAACAATATTATGCACTTTATCGTCTCTAATGAATGCGAAAACAAATCATAAAGAAAATTAAATTCAAATGCAGCAGCAGCATCAGCAACAGAAAATAATGGAAGAGAAAGAAAGAAAAAAATAGCAACACACAATTATGATAAAGAGAAAATAATTGTGGAAAATTATAAACAAGTTGCAGCAATTTTCGATGTGCGTGTTCTTTTTGCTCCTAATTTTACCATTTTAATAGCTATTGTACTCTGATCACAAGATTGAAAATTAATTTCGTCCCGCAAAATGTGCAGCTCGTTAGACGAGAGAGATATGTGTCGAAAAACGATTCAAAAATAACGTTCATCGTTCTATGTAATATTAGCATAATTATTCGCAATATGTCTACTAATGAACTCAAATTGAATATTCTCGAATATTCTCTCGTTCACTCCATAGAGCTATGCCACATTAATATATGTATGTATGTATATATATAATGGATGCATCATTAAAAGGGTTTAGCAAAGCTTCAAAGACTCTATGAGTCAATGACTAAATTCTCACTTCTCTCACTCGCTCTCATCCCATACGAAAGGAAAACTGATTATTGAGTGCGTTATGGAGAAACCAAATATTTGCTTTTTGAAACTATAAATTTTGTGCGTACGGATGGTTATATGGTTAGTTAATTATATGTGGGTCTGTCTGTGTATCTATGTACTTACCTTTTCACCATATTCGCCTTCAACAGCAACGGTGCTGGTGTATCGCCAATCGAATGATTTTACAATTTCAGCTATCGCCTGGGCTTGGTAGTTGTCTGGCGGTACAACACGGCTAAAATACTCAAAACGTGACTTATCTGAGAGCTCCGTACTTGTCGATGCATAGCTGATTTGTGGAATCTGAAACCAAAAAATCCATCGCAACAGAAACACATTTAATTACTGATTGCACATCGTAGCTCTCTCTCTCTCTCGCACTGAAGTCTCTGTCGCTCTTTCTTTCTCGTTGCACATCAAATCGCTGTCTCTCTTTCTCCCACTATCGCCGCCTCTCTCTCTCTCTATCATCCACTCTCAATCTCTCTTCCTATGTGTGCCGATTCTCATTCATCAACCCTGATTGCAATGTTATGTCCGAATCGCATTCACAACACTCATCTCAGTTTGCATTAGTAGCGTACGCACGCAAAAACAGATCGAATTGGAATCGAGCAGCACTGAGACCGAGAGAGAGAGAGAGAGAGAGAGAGAGAGAGAGAGAGAGAGAGAGAG